TTTCTGTTTCCTGTAACCGGCCGGCCGGAGTGACAGGAAGTGCACACTCAGTGTGCCCCTTCCTATCACTCCGGCCGGCCACCGACCGGAGTGCAGCTCGGCCACACTACAGGGGAGGGCAAGGGAGGACAGGAGCAGCTGCAGCCGCCTGAGGCTCTTAACAGAGCGCTCGGGCGGCTGCAGTATTTAAAGGGCCGGCCCCCAGGTGCCGCGGCCCACCGGGAAATTTCCCGGTATCCCGGTGGGCCAGTCCGGCCCTGGGTACATGTTATTTAGGAAGGATAGGAAAAACAAGAAGGGTGGTGGGGTATGTTTGTATGTCAAATGAGGAAAATGTGGAAGCTTTATGGGTAAATATCTGCTTGGGGGAAAAGAAGGGAAACCAACTATTGGTTGGGATATGTTATAAACCACCTAATGTTAATATTGACGAGGAACAACAGCTGTTTGAGCAAATTGAGAAAGCTGCAAATCTGGGTAACACTTTAATTATTGGAGATTTTAATTACCCGGACATAAATTGGGACAGAGGGACTAGTAGCTCAGCAAAGGGAATTAGGTTTTTAAACTTGTTAAATGACACTTTCATGTCACAACTTGTACAAGCACCAACTAGAATGGACGCTTGTCTGGACCTGGTTTTAACAAAGAACGTTAATCTTTTTCAAGTAGGTGAGCACTTGGCAAATAGTGATCACAATATAGTGTCCTTTGAAATAAACTCAAAAAAACAAAAGCACATGGTGTATACTAAAACATATCATTTTAAAAAGGCCAATTTCAATTAGTTAAGGGCAGCTTTACAATATATTGACTGGCATAAACTCTTTAGTGGAAAGAATACTGAGGATAAATCTTAGACAAATATTAGAAAGGTACATTTCTTAGTATGTACCATTGGGAAATAAATATAAAAGAAACAAAACCAATGTGGCTTAGTAGAGAAGTAAAACAAGAGATTAAAAATAAGAAAAGGGCATTTAAAGCATTTAAATCGGACAAATCTGATGCATCTTATAAAAGATATAAGGAAGCAAATAATGCGTGCAAAAAGGCAATTAGATTTGCTAAACTTCAAAATGAAAAAATGATAGCTAAAGAGAGTAAAACCAACCCCAAAGCATTTTTAAAGTACATAAATTCTAAAAAAAAACAAAAATGAAAGTGTAGGTACATTAAAAACTGAAATGGGGGTATTGGTTAATGAAGACCAGGAAAAGGCAGGAATTTTAAATAACTATTTCTCCTCCATATTTATTAAGGAAGAACCCATGGCAATAGATGTGCAAATGATTGCTACTAAAAACTTGCAGAATAATTGTAATTGGTTAACTCAAGACAAGGTGCTGCATCAACTAAATAAAGTTATTATAAACAAAGATCCAGGGCCTGATGGTATCCATCCACGAGTACTTAAGGAACTAAATGTAGAAATAAATGAACCTCTGTTTTTAATCTTTCAAGATTCTTTTTTTTCAGGAAGTGTTCCGGAGGATTGGAGGAAGGCAGATCTGGTTCCTATATTCAAAAAGGGTTCAAAATCCTTGCCAGGAAATTATAGACCTGTGAGCTTAACTTCTGTGGCTTGGAAAATATTTGAAAGGTTATTAAGGGATAATATTCAAGAATTCCTTGAGAAGAACATGGTTATCAGCAAAAATCAGCACGGTTTTATGAAGCACAGGTCACGTCAAACTAACTTGATTGCGTTCTACGAAGAAGTAAGTAGAAGTATAGATCAGGGTGTTGCAGTGGATGTGATCTATTTGGATTTTGCCAAGGCATTTGATACAGTTCCACACAAAAGATTAGTGTTCAAACTCAAGGAAATCGGTCTAGATGAAAATGCTTGTTCTTCTGTAGAACATTTGCTTAAAAACAGAGTACAAAGAGTTGTCATTAATGGTAAATTTTCAAGCTGGACAGAGGTGGCAAGTGGTGTCCCTCAGGGGTCTGTTCTGGGACCCCTTCTATTTAACATGTTTATAAATGCTCTTGAATACAGCATTGAAAGTCATGTTTCAGTATTTGCAGATGACACAAAACTCTCTAAAATAATACAATGTGAGCAAGATATTACTTTGCTGCAGAGGGATTTAGATAGACTGGGGGACTGGGCACTCAAATGGCAGATGAAATTTAATGTAGAAAAATGCAAAGTTATGCACTTCGGCGTAAAAAGAATACAAAAGCAACGTATACCCTTAATGGAAGCGAATTAGGGATAACAACACACAAAAAGGACTTGGGAATTGTTATAGACAACAAACTATGCAACAATGTGCAATGTCAATCAGCAGTGGCCAAGGCCAGTAAGGTATTGTCATGCATGAAAAAGGGCATTCATTCTCGGGACGAGAATATCATTTTGCCTCTTTATAAATCACTGGTAAGACCCCATATTGAATATGCTGTGCAATTTTGGGCACCTGTTCTAAAGAAGGATATTATGGCACTAGAAAAAGTGCAGAGGCGGGCTACAAAATTAATAAAAGGAATGAAACATATCAGCTATGAAGA